CCTTTTATTAAACGAAGGTGAATTTCTTGCATTCACCTTCAGGCAAAGGCCTGGTAAACAGCCTTTCACGGGTGTAATTTGAGAGCACAGACCTCATCTATAGCATGGAGAGCTGGCAAGTAAATATTTCCAAACACGGTGCTGACAAGGAAGGGCTCGGCACAGAGTCTCTGAGATGCACAGACAGATCTTCACACAGCTGGAACGAACAAATTGTTTCCTGCCAAAAGCCCCTCCCCTTTTAGTCCTCTTTTAATCCCTATGGGAGGGGCCATTCACTGTCCACCTGTGCCTTTACTCCCACGTCGACCCTTGTTCCTTAGCTGTTCCCTTCTCCTGGCAGCTCTGTGCATGCGCCCACTGGGAACAGGCTCCAGCTGTTCTTCTTCCCCACTGATCTCCGACTCCGAAGGCAGCTGATCACTGTCAGATGGCCCTGGCTCCATCTCTGCCTCCAACACAGAGCCCTCATCTGAGCCTTCCTCAGCTTCCACGACTGGCCCACGTTTCTCCCCAACCTCCTCACTACTGTCCAACTCTGCTGCCAGCTCCGCTAGCCGCCAGTGGGCCACAACAGTTTTGCAACCACAGGACGGGCAACAGGGTACCGGGAAGTGGCCAGAAACCTGAATATCTCTGGAGATGCTCCATTATCCAAGTCACGGTTGTCCCAAAGACAGCTGGACTTTTCTCTGTTTCCCAAGTATCGTCCACATACTTAGCGAGGGAATGGAGGTCTTATGAAGGAGTTTAGGGTTTTGGTTTCTACTCCTTCCATGTGTGGATTGGCCACAATTGGGGGGGGGGGTGGCACGTGTGAGGTCATGGCGCAGTTGTGGTTTTGTCTGTAGAAAACTTTTGTTGTATTTAAAATAAGTCATGATCCTGAAGGGTCCTTGGTGCTCTCTGAGCTTGGTGGTTTCCTTGCAGACGTTTCATGACCCAACTAGGGAATATCATCAGTGCTAGAAGGGAATGGAGTTTGCAAGGGGGAGGAGGAGGAAGAAGAAGAAGAGGAAGTAGTAGTAGTAATATGGAGTCTGTGGTGCTCTCTGAGCTGGGTGGTTTTCTTGCAGACCTTTCATGACCCAGCGAGGTAACATCATCAGTGCTAGAAGGGCGTGGGTATGCAGAGAGGGAGAGGAGGAAGATGAAGAGGAGGAAGAAGAAAAGGGAGAGGAGAACTATGGCATCCTTGGTGTCCTCTGAGCTGGGTTGTTTCCTTTGAAGACGTTTCATGACCCAACTAGGGAACCTCATCAGCGCTAGGAGGGAATGGAGTTTGCAAGGAGGAGGAGGAAGTGCGGAGTCCCTGATGCTCTCTGAGCTTGGTGGTTTTCTTGCAGGCCTTTCATGACCCACACTAGCTAACGCCATCAGTCCAGCTACACCCTCCGCCCGAACAACCACTCCGTCTTTTGATTTGCAGATTGAAAACGAAGAAGACCTGCTGGCCGTGGCTCTCTTCCCCTCCCTGACGGAGCTCACCTTCTACGGCAACCCATTCACCACATCCCGAAGCGGTACCGCCTGCCCGGGAGGCCACGGGGTGTTGGGGGTGGGGGGCACCTTCCCTGGGGCAAAGGAGGGACCGTCCCTCTTGGCCTTTTGGCCCCCTGAAGTGCAGCAAAGAACTATGGGAAATTGAGAGGGGGTGTGATGACCGGGGCACAAAAGCAACAAAGTCACAAAAAGTAGGTAAAGTCCCTTTAATTCCTCCAACTTGGCCCCCCAATGTCCAGTTATCTTCGGCTGGAGAAAAAAAAACTCTCCCAAGAACAGTTTTTAAAGGGAAGAAGTTCCATTCAAACTGAAAGTAGATCTAAATTATAAATAAAAACCAACACAAACCACAGCTGCAGCAATTAACAAGACAGGGCAGGATAAGGAGTTGCAGACTTCAAAAGATAACGAAACACACACAGTTGGGGGGACGCCCAGAACCCAGATAAGACGTGACAAACAAAGATAAGGCAGGCTTTGCTTCCAGAAAGGTGCTGTGTGCAAATGCCCCACTTATATCCTGTTTCCCCAGCTGCAACTAAGGAAGGCGATCAGGGCCCTTGCCTCTCCCATAAGCCACGTTGCTCCCTTCTCCGTTCCTTCCTGCGTGCCCTAAGATGCAGAGGGGGTGGGCCTGGGTCTTCCTCTGAATGCCCAGCCGGCCTGTGCCCTTCCCCAGTTTCCTCCACATTCATCAGAGCCACACTCCCACTCCCTGTCAGCTGTTCCACCTCCCCCTTGGAATCCAATTCCAACAGGGGCATGACGGGGTGCTTCTTAAAATCTGTTCCTTTCCATCTTGGGGAAAGGACGTCCGTCGCTGTATGGGTAGTCCTCGACTTATGACCACAGCTGAGCCCAAAACCTCCCTTGCTGAACGAGAAAATGGTTAAAGTTAGTTTTGGCTCCGTATTACGATTTTTTTTTTGCCACCGTCGTTAAGCGAATCACCCCAGTTCTTAAGTTAATCACATGGTCGTTAAAGCGAATCTGGTTTCCCCATCGCTGGAAGGTCGCGAAAAGGGGATCACGTGACCCTCCACGGGTCAATTGCGGACCGGCATAAATAGGAGCGTCTGGATTTGGATCGCAGGCTACGATAGTCGCCAGTGTAAAAAACAGTTCTAAATCACCTTTTTTCCCCCAGCGCCATTTGTCATTTCGAACAGTCACTAAAGGAATTTGTTGTAAGTCAAGGACTACCTGCAGTTCTCCCTGGGGTTGTCAGGCGCGTGTGCCAGGTCCACGCACACGAAGGTCCGATCAAACAGAGTTATTGCTTTAAAAAGCCTATATTCCCATGCTGTTTTGATCAGAATCGAGCTAGAAGGGACCTTGGAGGTCATCTAGTCCAGCTCGCTGCTCGAGCAGGAGACCCTTTATATATCCATAAAGGCCGAACCTATGGCACGCAAACCCCAGGCAAACTTACCTGCACTGCGCATGCGTGCGCCTCCCAGCTGATTTTTCAGGCCTTTTTCGGCCTGCCAGAGGCTTGAGGGAAGCCTCTGCAGGCTTCGCAGGCCGAAAAATGGGCCCGTTTCATCACTTCATGTATTTCCAGAAATACCGGAAGTGATGAAAGAGGCCCATTTTTTTCGGCCTGCAAAGTGTTATGCTACCAGTTCGGCCACGATTGACATTTTTTTGGGGTGGTGGTTTTAGTTGGTTAGCCGAGCGTCCAAAATGCAATCCCGGGGACGCAGGGCAGCAAGGGTGGAGGAGGACAACTGTCAGAACTTCGACTCCAGACCGTCAATACCATTTTGGGGATCTGTTGTCGCTTGGAACGGTTGTTTTGCGTCGGGGCGTCAATCGAGGAAACGGAGAGGATATATTTTTTTGTCTTGCCCAGGGGCGTAACAACGATCTTTCTCTCCTCTTCTTCTCTCCTCTCCTTCCCTCTCCTCCAAGGTGACCCACCTCTTCTCACCAGTTTCCTTCAAGACAAGCTGGGGATTAAGCTGGTGAGGAAGAAAGTTTCCAAGCTGGAGAAGCCCCGCGTTTTTATCCCCGTCAAAGCCAACCGGGAGGTACAAACTTTGACAAATGGGTGGTAAGGTTAAGGTGAAGGTTCCCCTCCTAAAGGTAAAGGTTCCCGTGCTCGTCGTTTCCGGCTCTAGGGGACGGTGCTCATCTCCGTCACAAAGCCGAAGAGCCAGCGCTGTCCGAGGACGTCTCCGTGGTCATGTGGCCGGAAGGACTAAACGCTGCCGAAGGCACACGGAGTGCTGTTCCCTTCCCGCCAAAGGGCTCCCTACTTTCCTACTTGCATTTTTTCCATGCTTTCGAGCTGCTAGTGCGATGACACAAAGGGGCATGGCACAAAAGCAACCAAGTCACAAAAGTAGATGAAGTCCCTTTCATTCCTCCAACTTGGCCCCCAACGTCCAGTTATCATCGGCTGGAGAAAAAAACTCTCCCAAAAAACAGTTTTCAAAGGGAAGAAATTCCGTTCAAACTCCAAGTACATATAAATGATAAAGAAAAAAACAACCCAAACCAAACTGCAGCAATGAACGAGACAGGGCAGGATAAGGAATGGCAGACTTCAAAAGAGAACGAAACGCACACAGTTGGGAGGACGACAGAACTCAGATAAGACTTGACAAACCGGAATAATGTCATGCTTTGCTTCCAGCAACTTTGCCTTGCGCAGTTTCCCCTTTTAAACAGTCTTCCCAGCTGCAGTCAATGAAGGGGATCAGGGCCCTTTCCTCCCCCATAATCCATGCAACTCACGTTGCTCCCTTATCCGTTCCTGCATGCCCTAGGATGCAGAGGGGGTGGGCCTGGGTCTTCCTCTGAATGCCCAGCCGGCCTGTGCCCTTCCCCAGTTTCCTCCCCAGCCACTGGAGCCACACTCCCACTCCCTGCCACCTGTTCCATCTCTCCCTCGGAATCAGAGTCCAACAGCTAAGTTGGCAGAAGCTGAGACAAGGAATGGAAGCACGCTCCGTGACGTGGCGCTCGGGATTCAAACCGCCAAACTGCCGACCTTTTCCGAGCGACACGCTCAGCATCTTAGCCACTGAGCCACTGCGTCCCTATAAATGGGTGGTATAAAATAGTTTAATTAAAGCAGAAGTTTGGGGAGGGGTCCACATTGTTTAATCTTGGTGCAGGGGGGTGGGAAGGAATCGGGAAGGGCTGGGGAATTAATCCAATTGGTTCGGAGAGGCTGACACCAAGGATGGCTAAAGGAAATAAAATTTAGGAGAAGTAGTCCTTATCTTACTACAGTTCGTTTAGTGCCCAATCAACGTTGTAGCGCTGTGACGGCGAACCTTTTCGGCACCGAGCGCCCATTGCGTGCATACCCAAAATACCACGGGTGCTTCCCGTTCATGCATCCACTTCCCATATTCACACATACACCCCTGTACGTTCTTTGATTGCTTATAGTAACCTATGACTAAGTTTTGTATCTTATGATTCTTGATGAATGTATCTTTTCTTTTATGTACACTGAGAGCATTTGCACCAAAGACAAATTC